AGGCGGCTGGGCTTATTAGCCGTGGGCTTAATAACCGGCGACTACTGTACTAGGTAGATTGTTTCTCAAATTCCACTAAAGAAGCCAGCACAATTATTCATTTGTTAACCTTCCCACATATGCATCGCTAAGATAAGACATTTGAGATACCCATATTTGCTACTGCTCTCTGATTATATCTCTGATGACGAATCCGCGACGGCTCTCGAAACGTCAGGCAAATAAAAGTATTGTCCCAGCGATCGAGTAGTCTTCTCAATTACTTCCTGGGACTCGCATGTTCGCTTTTATTGGCAATAAGACGTTTGTCGAGGCCGCAGACTACGTGACTGGAAATGTGATTATCTCTCCGTTTATCTACGGTTCACGCAACCTTCTTTCTGAATTGCAATAGGCAGGATGCTGGTGCCGCGTCAATTAAACATCCAACCTTCAATTACAAGGTGACTGGACTGACCACCGTGGAAAGGATTTCCTATAAATGACACCACAGTGACCAGGAACCCCAAGTTTTTGAAATATGGTTCCGTGATAAAATCGGTTAAGTGAATGGATCATATCAGGGGGAAATAAGTAAGAAGTAGTGAATAAAAGTAAAAAGAGCAATAGGAATAAATATTTATATAACCTAATTTATGTCGCGCAATAATTAAAATTATAAATACAACCAATAGGAGACAAGAATGGCGCCAAATGCGGAACTTTACAGAGAATTGCGTATTTTCGAAGTTAAAGTAAAACCATGAAAGGTGAACTTCTTTCCCATTTTTTTTCAACTCACAATAACTGCCTGTGGATAGGTACTGTAGAACGATAAGCCGAAAATCAACCGCATGTTACTAATAAAACGCAAGAATAAACTCAAAACTAAACTGAACCAAAAGCTAAACTAATAAGACTAAGGTAAAGTAATTTAAACTAACTAAAATAGAACTAATAAAACAAAAAGTAACCGCAACAAGCTTAAGATGTCAGAGGAGTGCAAAGCAGCGGTAAATGCCGAATAAGTACCCAAGAAAACAGGCTTACTGCAACGAAATATACAATTCAAGAAGTCAAGATAGGCGAACGAGCGTTTTCAATTTAATTCATCTCAGGCGTGTACAATAATATAAAAGGGGTAGAGTTAGCAAAAGTTTAAGCAACCAATCAACGGTATTTGAGGGGGGGAGTTGTTAAGAGATCAAAGGGGTGGAGAGGGGGGAGGGGGGCGTGTCTCATAATTAGA